TACATCATTTGTATTTTCAGCTGTTGCCTGAAGTTATAGTCAGATTTATGTCACATACTTTACTTTCGGATATCAAAGAATTAAAAATCAAGAAATAATCTAGGCAAAAGTAATTTCTACATGTGGAAAAATTTCCCATTGGGAAGGATTAATAGAGCACAAAATACTTTCTAAATTAAACTCAGACACATAATCTAGCAAAATATTACCGAACTGGGAATATTAAAAAAAAAAATCCAGAGTTTGATTTGGACCACCTCCAAATATTATAAGGTCCACTGACTTTGCATACAAATGTTGAAAACAGTTATGTGTTTATTCTGTAAAATATGTGCGTGGACTGTATAAATTTAGGAGTGTTAAACATTAAAGGAGTATAATCTCCACCAGTATTTCTTCAACAATCAACTTAGAAATGATAGTAATGAAAATAAGGTATATTGTGTGTTTACAACTGTTATTTGTGTAATTGTCATCCTCACAAACTTTCTGTAAAAAGGTTTCGTTTTAGGCATGAATCTCCTGCAATATAGATATAGATGTAGATGTAGTTATATATTTCCCATCTTTTAAGACTTAGCTGAAAGCTGTCTGTGCTTAGCTGGAAATTGCTGCCCAAAGTAAAATGTCAGTGTCATTGCTATTTGATATTACTACATTGAAAACAACAAGAAAAAAATCATACACCATGTCTATCCATGTAATAACTGGATATATCCAAAAGACCAACTTACAGCTATAAATGCCAATGGCTGGAGAGGTATGTAACCAAAGAGTGCTTGTTCTTTATAAAATGGCTCCAGTTTATAAAGTTTAAACAGCACATTCACTTTATCCAAAGTAAATATATAAACTGTGTATAATCCTTGATTGGCATTCCTAGAAACGGCCTCACTCTGACTTCTGTTCTTTCCACCCATGCACGGTATTGCTAATTAGGGAACCCATGCAGTTCCCCTAATAAAAATGAAATAGTGCAAAATAATACTGTAGCGATAGTTTTAAAGTAAAAGCTCTAAACTCTGTTGGTAGTAGTCGAACTTTATAATGAATCCCTGTTGTCCCCAACACACCAAAACACTGAGTTAGCATGATGATAAAATGTCAGCTTCTAACTACGAGAAACAGACTCATGTTCCTAATTTTCCAGTATTCTAGAAACAGAACGGCCCAAACGTCTGGGTTTGGGTATGTGGAAAGAGACAGAATAATTACAGGTGCCATTAGAGGTGAACTATTGTTTCTTGTGTTTTTGTGGATTGTATGTTCTTCCTGAGGGGAAATGTAGTGAAATGTGGTCTTAATCAGAATAGGAGAAGTAAGAAGCAATACCGTGCATGGGTGGAAAGAACAGAAGTCAGAGTGAGGCCGTTTCTAGGAATGCCAATCAAGGATTATACACAGTTTATATATTTA